TATAAACATAGGTAGGCAACACATCTGTGGCCAGACAAAGCGAACTGACCAATTCCAATTGAGAATCTAATAGTACGCTCAACTAAGACAAAGCTAACTGCGGCCACAGTGCATTATAATCTATAATATTCAGTCCTGAAAATGGAGACAGCATGCACGTTTCATACGGCGCCACAATCCAGAAAAAAACCCACATATCTTGTGGTTCTCGCGTTTTAAGCACAAATTTCAGATTGAACATCAGCCCTGTTCTTGGGTAAGTGCATCAGTGTGCAGACTTTACGCTCGTGTTCCGTAATTAAGGCTCTGTGTCGTGTAGTGACTGAATTAGAAATGCAGTCAGGACGGAGTACAAGCTAACATATTTCCATATAACTGACTAAAAGTAGCTTAATAAACGATAAGCCAAACAGTTGGCGTCAATACATAGCACCTTGCCTGGACTAACTCACTTGGCTCCAACAATGACTTGATTCCTTGGCACGTCAAATACAATTTTTGAAAATGCCGAAACTCCGGTGTCGTTAAAGCGGTCTCCTGTCGTTAGGAGGTCTGTAAAAGACAGGCAGAGGGCATCAAGACGTGCTCAAACTACAGAGCAATAATTCTATCCACTTCAGAGCCAGATAGGGCGAAACTATTTTGACTCGACCCGTTTAGCTCCAGAGTTTGTGGTTTTATATAAATAATACGGTGTCACAATTCCGGACGTCTGTACTTAAGTGTTAGCCATGCAAAACGGCTAATACTCTTAGAAGTTCTGATGTTACAATTCTCTTAACCACTACGATTTGACTAATAATCAGCCATTTTAAATCGGCTAACACTGCGAGTCATTCAGATTTGGTTAACACTGTTAGCCATTCCTCTTCAGCTAACACTATTAGCCACACAACGGGAAAGCGAAACAACGCGCTCAAAAATCGTCTGTATCGGAACAGAAGTTTTTGGTGACGAAACGTCAGGTCAGATAATTGCTGATTTGCATTCTGCAACGGGCTACATGTTCCCACAACGCTCTGCTCTGGACAGTCAAAACACAAACCAGTGCAAAGTTAAACACATTTCATTAGTATATGATTCAATTTGTACTGCTCTGAGAGAAAAGATTATGGAAAACAAAGGACAAGGAAAGTAAAGCAAGGTGGAGAACTACGCACATACATAAGCCCTTAATACATCGCGAATTCAATTTCTTGCCCCTGCGGAGATAAAACAGGAACTGTCCAAAATCCCAATACGAAGTGCGTCATTATGCTGCTCGTAAACTCACCTTGGTACGAAACGCAGCGGAAATCAGCGAAGATACCAGTCCACAGCGACGTTATGGTCAGGATCAACACGAGGAATCGGTGGTAGTCAAAAGTCTTTAGATCTGGCGGGCATAAAATCACATCAGTCACCAAGACGCGGTCTTCATGAGACTTGCACTTATATTTAGTGCCACACTTCACCCCCCCACCCTCGGTCCAGTGTACCATCTCCAAGAAATTTCCGCATTAAAATTCTGGATGTATATCGTGTTTCGCTGGCTATGTTCTAACTCCAGTAACAATATTACACTTGACTCTCTAAACCACATATTTTTTCGCATGTGTCATCATGATAACTGCATAATGATGAGCTTAAAAATCTGTACTCCTCCCCCAGCATTGTCAGGGTGATTAAGTCGAGAAGAATGAGATGGGCTGGGCATGTAGCGCGCATGGATGGGACAAGAGGTGTGCACCGGGTATTGGTTGGGAAACCTGAAGGGAAGAGACCGCTGGGGAGACCTAGAAGTAGATGGGAGGATAATGTCAGGCGGGATCTATGGGAGATAGGAGTTGAAGGAAACTGGATTTTGTTGGCCCAGGACAGGGTCCGGTGGAGCGCTTTGGTTAATTCGGTGATGAACCTTCGGTTTCGGTAAGCCATCTGGTTAGTTAGTTTAGTTAGTGTCGTCATGATGCACCACCACCAGTTTCAAACCTCACAATACAACTACCTCAGTCAAGGGCCAATGCGCAGGGTAAAGTGCAGAGTAATTAAATACAGTATATGAAATAAGAACATTTGCACGTAATTCCTAATCACACCAGACTCACTTATCACCTTCTAATTTCAATATTTCTCTTTGCATAATTTCAGACGCATGTTTTTGTGTTTTTTATTATTATTATTATTTGATAACATAATTTAAAAACTTTCAAAACTTTCACAAGATTCAAATTTGAAAGTCCTACTCTGTTTATAACGTAACGTTTCTGAACAGTGCAAAGAACGCATAATAATTTAACTCCATTCTCAAACTGTTTTAAGTTTCTTATTTTGTATTCTTAACGTCTACAAAATTATCGAAACACTACATTCCTTCAAATTCAAAATTTGAAACAATAAATTTTGAAATTACTCAGAATTTATAAATGTTTCATAATTTTAAAACATCTGTTACAACTTTTAAAATATCATCAGTACCATTTAACAAAAATAATTACAGTTCTTATTCCTCCTAAGCCCAAGAATGGTTAACATTCGCCACCACATTCGCTAAACCTCCCATTACATCAAAACCATTTTTTCATCTCCGTACCTCTAACTCCTCTCGTTAACTACCCGAACCTAAAAATAAATACCAATTTCAACTCGCCCGCTATTGCGTCTCCTCACTTTTTTCTACAAAACAAAAATAGTATTTCAGCTAATACGGTACTTTACAAATAGCATACAAACCTGTATTTTTCCTCAGCGTAATTCTTTTCTGGTCAACTTGCATGTTTATCGCACATCAAACTGTTGTTCAAAAAATCACATTACCATGGAATCTTGAGGAAGGTAGGGCTGAAGTATAAAGACAGACGAGTTATTGTTGACGTCAATATATACAATACTAATACAACACTACCGACGAAAACTATGACGTAACAATTATTGTTTCCTCCATAAAGGAATTGTAACCGAGCATCCGACTTTAGTTTAGTAAATTGAAACCTGTAAATGTTACAAGCAATAATAATAATAAATAGGATGTCATTGCCTCACTCTTTCTTCAAAAGGAAGAGACCTCGATGTCCACCGTCAAAATAAAATGGAGAGAGTGAAGGACAGTGTCAAGAATTTCTTAGTAATTCACAGAAGAAAAGTACTTTGGTTATTGCGAAAGACTTTTTTAAAAGTACAAAAGTATCTCGTCTGCAACAAACTTCTCCTACAAGCGATTCACAGCTCAGCTCTTTCCACAATGACGAAAGCGGATTGTTGACGCCAATATACACTAATGCAACAATTCCAAAGGAAACTATGACGTAACAATTAGTAAATGAATGGAGTGCAATACGGTTTATTCAGTCTATTATACTGCAAGCATAAGAAATGAGCCTTACGGCATGCTCAGTCAATATTGTTGCAGGTGTGGTTTACAAATTCCAATACTTCTTATTGCATTGTTGTACACGCAGGTATTCATATAAAAGCTGACCGTTGTCGAGGCCTTCAGCCGAAACGGCCCCTCCCTCTCTGGGTTCATACCCCAGAGACCCAACCAACCAAATTCCTTCGACAACTTGCCTGACAGGATAACCTCCCATCAGCAGCAACAAATCCCAGTTTGAATGGTCGAGGGTCCCGCCACGACGAAACCCCGTTAGCGTTAGCAAAATTTCCGTT